AGTATATATTGAAACATACTTGTATAGCCATTACAACATCTAGATGAAACCCGTGAAACATGCGTCTGAAACAGCTGAAACATTTGGAACATACATTTGCAATATGTCTAAAACAGATGAAACATGTGGAACATACACTTGAAACATATGTGTGTAGATATTGCAACATATGCAACGTCATATCCTTTTGCAACATCAAGATGAAAAACAAGAAACATACAAATGAAACACATGAAACATACAGATGAATCGCATGAAACATACATATGAAACAACTGAAACACTTGAAATATATACTTGCAACATATGAATATAGCCATTGCAATATATGCAACATACAGATGAAACATTTGGAAACAACTTCTAAAAACACCCGAAACAAACACATGGCGCTCGCTAGTATCCATGGCTTACTTGGTGGGGAACTGTGGTAGCCAGCAAGCGGTGCTGCTCGTGCAGTGCAGAGGGAGGATGACTGCATGAAAGCGGCTGGGCGTGGTGAAGAACGCCACGTGCAGAGCAATCACAGTGGACCATGCCGCGTCGGCTCGAAGAACTCAGTGGCGAGTGGTGAGTGGCGATGGGGAGACAGGAAAGCAGGCGGTGGCGCTCGGGCGCAATGCGCCGCTGATGCATTGCGGCTGTGCGAGTGTGGCAGTGCTATCACGATGGAGCAAGCCACGGCGATACAGGCGCGGAGTTGGTTGGAGAATGGATGAGGAAACAACGGCGATTCGAGAAGAAGGTGAGAGTGATGATTTTTTATTTTTATTTCCATGCAAATGGAAGTGTTGCCTACTGGGCCGTTTGGGCGAAGACCTACCAAACGCGCGTCCAGAAAAACGAGCGTCCTACCCACAACATTATCCTTAATAATTTGTGAACTTTCTCCAAAAGAGGTTTAAATCTTAGCCACTTAGGGGCGTTTAATTTGAAGCTTCAATTTTCAGCCACGGTCGTTTAGTGTACAATTTGTTTGAAACTGACGTTAAATCAATTTATTATTGCTTTATGAGTAGAAATCAATCTCAAATCTCGGTTGCATCCCAGACCATATCGTGACCAAAAGTTTTGCCGTTCGTGGGCAGACGAATACCATTTTTGAGCCTAATATGTCAAACTGACGTCATATTTGCTCCTTGCATTGAACGGACGCAGGGCGGCGAAAGCGGCGGCGCATGCGCCACAACGGCGGTGGTGAAGGGCGGCCACCTCTACGTCGCGCACGTCGGCGACTGCCACGCCGTGCTGAGCCGCAACGGCGCGACGTCCGTGCTGACGGCGGACCACACCTGCGCCCGGGATGAGGAGCGGGAGCGCATCGAGCGCGAGGGCGGCGGCTACGTGAGCCACGGTGGAGGGTGCAGGGCAGCCTCGTGGTGTCGCGTGCGTTCGGCGACGGCGCGCTGAAGCGGTGGGTCGTCGCCGAGCCGGCTGTCACCAGGGTGGCCCTCGTCGCCGGGTGCGAGTTCCTGGTCATCGCGTCGGACGGGCTCCGGGGGCAAGGTCAGCAACCAGGAGGCCGTCGACGCCGTCTCAGACTCTCCGGGAACCGGGCGACGGCGTGCAGGGAGCTCGTGGACATGGCGCGGCGCAGGGAGAGCAGGGACGACGTCACCGTCATGGTCGTTGACATGGTCGTTGACTGAGCACCGATGATGCGGCTGACTGAGCACCGATGAATTTAATTGGAGCACCGATATATGTCTCCGTAAAGCTGTTGCTGAAATTGAAAACCAGAACTGCATCAGAACACCTCCTGGTCCTGCCGGTCACCGTTTTGTTTGGGCGTCGTTGTCATATTGCACGAATTTTACATCACTCAAAAGTGTTCGATGTTTGACAGCGATGCTGGTAACAGTACTTGGCAATATCTTTTTCGAACATCAATATACACAATGTTATAGCAAAGGTTCACGAAGAACTTGGCTCAGCACTCATATTGACATGAATAGGAATACAGACGAGTGCATGCCAGATTAGTGTAAGAAACATTTAGCAATATTTACACAACACAACACGCTAGGATTATAACAGAAACCACAAACACAACACACTTGGATTATAGCGGGGAGGGAAACATAGTCAAACAGCATCTGTACTTCAAAACTGATTAGTGGAAGGAATATTGGCTAAGGGCAGCAAAGATGCTATGATAGCCAACTTCTTTACATTTCTTTTACATGTAGAATATACAGCCCCACATTTCGTTTACACTGGGGAAAAGCTGTGTAGATGGAGCCCTGTACAGTATAGTAGACATATGAACAAGCCTGTGTAACAGTGCAGTGTAAGGAATGGATTGCTGAACCCAAATGGCGACCATGTTGACAGCTGCAGAAAACAGAGTTTTGCCCATCAGAAAAAAAAAAAGCAGAAACAGGACAAAAAAAACTTTCAAGATCACAAGGCCACTCCCAGCGTTAGCTAGCTGGCCTTCACAGGATCAATGGATGCAGAGTTCTAACCATGAATAGAAGACAGTGCAAAATTTATGTCTAGGCTGGGAAAACACAAGAGGTGACAAGTACACCCCCAAACTGACAAACATCAAGCCATTTACCTAGAGCCTCGCAGCGGCAAATGTAGTTTGTATAATGGCTGCATCCCGCCGAACCTATATAAGTTGGAGAACCGTGGATCCAAAATTGCAATGTAGAACGGACAGGACATCAGCTCAATGGAAATTGGAGAACCGACAATGCAAGAACATAAAAAAGGTGTCACAAGGACACACATGTCTAATATGACCATCCTACAATATTCATTGGTGAGGTAGCTGCGAAGCAAAACAATGTAACTTTGCACTAATATGGCTAAATCATACAAAGTCAGCATCTGGAAACAGAAAATTACATAATTTCAATTCACTAAGATATCCTTGGCCTGGTATCATACCATTAGTATTATTAGTTGGATATCTGATTTTAGCATTTTTATGAGTGACCTGACATTATAGTTACCTTGCTAAGTGTCCATCAGACTCCCAACAATGAGAACAATGATTGTCTTCAATCCTGCAACAAAATAACAAATGGAACATGCTCAAACTATCACCAAACCATGAACAGACCATACTTGTACTAATCCCGCAATTGTAAGTAGCTATGTGGAAATAAGAATTGTACAGGGTACCAGACCTATGACTTGGTGTGTAATGGGGACCTTATTTTCTCCACCTTGAACACCATCCAGCTAAGCTATCACTAGGCATGCTAGATGGGTATGCGAAATTCTGTGGTATAGGCTCACTAATTTCCTGATAAGCAGCATGTTTAATTATTATTACAGTAAGGGATGCCTTTTCTATTTCACCAAGAGATCTATCTCTATCCTCGAATCATAAAACAATCAAACAGGTGAATGGCTTAGCAGGATCTTTTGTTCTGGGACTCAACCATAATCTGTTGCAAAAAAACTGACAGACGATTAAAGAAGTCAAATTGGAAGGTAGATCTGCAGGAAGCTGAAACAGAGCACCCATTGCAGGCACCCAGAATATGAAATCAGCAGAGGTTCGCATGGAGCAGCAACCTCATATCTAAGGTGCTGAATAAATGGCAACCAATGTCATCAGGTACAGAGGAAAAATGGATTAGTGTTCCTGCAAGATAGCCTGGAAATGCAGGATAACATCACATGGAGCGGCGGTGAAGCAAAATAAAAGGCAAAACTATCTTCATGCGCTCTAATGTGAAACACCTTCGACAATTCTAGGTACGGAAAGATCGTACATGAAATGTGAGATGCCTTCTCAAAGCTAAAGGTCAGCACTCAGCACTTATGTAGCGCCATGGTTGTTTGCTGATTGCTCCATGCATCTATTGTAAACAACTGAGAGGCACAATAGAAAAAAGAACAAAAAGTGTACTGAGAGACATCAATAGAAAAAATAACAAAAAGTGTAGAACTCTCAACCTTAACCATGGTAGTAAAATCAAATTTCACTCTGCGATCTCATTTTCACATTGTAGATGTACAACCACAGACGTTCTACACACACATGGCAAGCTATCTGTACACATGCCTAGCTGTATCTTGTTTGATGTTGCAGTGGATTTTGGTTAATGCATAGTAATGATGGATGAGAAAGTTATATAGATAAATTGGTAGAAAATACATGTAACACCTTAAAAAGTCGAAGAGTAATGACTGTGATCAATGCAGAGAGCACTTGGCTCCAAAAAAAACCAAGAAACAAAACAAGTAGCACCTATCCTAGAACATTTTTACATGCAATAAAGAAAAGTTCAGGGAAAATGTCTCGGACTCCCTGATTCTACCAGAGGCACCCATATGAAATTTTATGAGCGCTCTACATCTTAGTGCATGGAACAAAGTGAAATATAGACGATAAACAAAAAGAAGCTGCTACTTGATCAACCTTTTATCCAGGATTAGCTCCATCAAAATCAGGTAACCCATAAAATCTTAGCACTTGAATATGCAGAAAATTAATATGATGGAGCTGAGCGGTCACGTTTTTTTGTGTGTAGAATTAGGTAGACGAAAAATCAGATTTCACACCCCCCACACACACACACACAAAAAAAGATGGAGCTTATGTGGAAAACAGTGTCGTTTATCCCTTTCTAAATAACCAATTGGTTCAAAATTTTATAGTAACAGGGAAATAGGAGCTGTGAAAATGGCCAATGAAACACCAAACAATTTATAAAAATCAACAGGGAAAACATACCGATTTTAATTTTGATTTCAGACTGGAACCTAGCAACTGACTTGGATATGTAAAACCAGACTTATATATGAGTTTACGTCCGTAAAATCGAATCCATATATCCATTTTGGTATCTTAAGTATCACATACTACCTAAATACACATCAAAACATAATATACTCTAAAGACAGCAGATATAGAAATAGTACATGACATATAATGATGTAATGGGCATTGTTAGTCAAAGGCACAAAGACAGATAGCTAGTCCTCCTCAATTGGAAGGTAAAATAGGCTGCAAAAGGTATGAACACACATTTGAATCAATGCGCCTGCAATGGAAATATCAACATCAACAATGCAGACTATGTTGCAGAATATGCTACACTGCAGCCACACATGTTAGGAAAAATAAACCTTCGTACAACATGTCAGTGTCCCAGGACAGATCTTATATGTGAGGTAAAAGGGGTTTGAGGGAGCGCAAGAAGATCGTACTCATCATAGCGGGAAGGTGTGGTGAGGACATCATCTGCACATGTCATTCGAGCAGGGTATGCTCACTTCAATACAATACCAACCCCCATACGACCTTGGGTTCTGCCTTAGAGAAACCTCAGCCTCTGAAATTTGAAATTTGAGCATCATTTAAGTAGGCAACTAAAATGGGCACCAGGAATGACTAAAGCACAAACATACAAGGGCTCTACATCGAATTCATAGAAGAGCATTGATGGATCAGAGAACTAACCACTCCTAGCTCATCATCAACAACAGACTCTATGGCCTGCTGGTCAGAAAGCTCCTTGATACTGTGCTGAACCACAAGCTTTTGATAGTTCCATGCGGTGTAGACCTCTGGGTTCCCTCGAGCATCTTCAAGCGCAGCCCAGGTGCTTCATTGATGTACCTACAGCCACAGCCATTTACCAAATAAGTCCAATGTTTTCTTAAGCACCACCTTGGAAGACTAAATTTGGATATTTTGCTGTGTTGATAAGGAAACAAAGGCTAAATTGCAAGAGCTGAAATCCATCTTCTTCTTTTTCGCTATGACTGATTAACCGACAAATAATTTGCAACAATGTGCATCAGGACGGTCAAGTTCAAGACATTTCACAGCTGACAATAACCATGAATCGGTGAACCAACATTGTGTGTTTTGCTTTGCATAGTCGAACTATAGAAAGATCTACCTTAAGAGCTTATACCTCACTCTGTTCGTGGTCATCAAAGCATGGCATAGATCTCTAAAACAGAATTTTAGATATAGCCTCTGTTACGTTCACATTTCTATCAAACACATCAAGTCCATGAAGGCAAACGGAAAAGGTCACTGTAACCTTGGCAGCTCTCATCACTTAATTTTTGGTGGCAGCCTGTTTTGATTCATCCATTAAATTGTTAATGAAATCTAAATTCCCTAAAATCCTCATTAAAGAGGTGTAAAAAATTCGCAACCACTAAATCCAGCCAACCAGAAGCATCGCAGACCACCCAGAAAGGCAATTGATGCACAGAAACAAAATCAACTATGTTTCACCAATGGAATGAAATTTGTAAACCACATGGGAATAATCCAATGGGGAGATTTAGTTCAGAACTACTACACACATCATTAGTACCAGTGTGAACCTTGACATACATAAAGAAAACCACTATGACATACCGAATCTACCATATAATAGCAGTAATGCTTTTTTATATGAAGTGGAAATGCAAAAACAACATCATTTTTTTTAACAATCCACAATCGCTCCACATTCTGTATAATTTCTTTCTAACAAAAAAAAAAGCTAGGAACCGATTAATCATTGGCTCTGAGTATGCAAACGAGTACCCACCTTGCTATGCGTGGCTCCTCCTCTACCTCCTGATCTGCGCCTCCCTAAGCCGAGCAAGATTCAGTCAGATCGAAAAAGCAGGGAGCGCAAATAAATCCCAAAACACACAAATCTGAGTACTCACATTTGTGCCCGACAATCCCCATCGACCTTCTGGTACTCGCTGCAAATATCAACCAGAAATCCCAGAAAAAACAAACGAAATAAACCAATTCGCATGGTGCACGGAGGATGCAAAAAATCTCCCAGAAAATAGGAACTGATGACTCACCTTTGAGCGTGTCCCCTCCTCTCCGCCTCCGATTAATTATTACCCTTCGACGACTGCCGCACCACATGTCCCCATCACCGGTAGGGTAGGGGTGGTAGTGGATCGCCGTTGACCCCAAGGGAGAAGTTGGAGCCACGGCAGATCCTCCGCCCCTCGGCGCGGCACGGCCGACGTCCACCGCACCACAGATCACCTCCGGCATCTCCGATGCTCTCCGCCACCGTTGACCGTTCCCCGTTCTGAGTAAGTGTACGAGAGAGGCCACAAGTTTGGAGACCATGGCGGCGCTTGTCCGTGTTGCGACGGTGGAGTCGGGGCCAGCAACGGGCAGATGCGGCCGGGCAGTGGAGTCGGATCCGGCACAACGGGGCCCCGGGCTGGCGCTGCGGTGCCAGGACCGGGGACGAGGATGGCGCGGCGCTGGGGACTTCCAGGTCGCGGCAGAGAGGGAAGAAGCCGATGAGCTGTGCAGGAGGAGAGGGAAGAAGCCGATGAGCGGTGGAGGAGGAGAGGGAGGTGGTCGCGGTCGCGGGGGAGACAGACAAGGACGCGCAGCAGAGAGGGGGGGGAGGGAGGGCAGCATAGTAGTACCAGATGGAGGGAGAGAGGTGAGACAAGCTTCTGATCCGCGGTCCCCATGTGTATTCTTGTCGTACCTTTCTCAATCTCCAAAAGATCCCAAAGGAACTCCCAAAGTCCGAATCTAGAGATTTGGAAAAAAAAAAACACATCTCCAGCAACTCTCGACACTTCCTCTAAGCGCGTGTCTAGTTCCATCCAAAATCCTAAAAAGTCCACCAGATCTGGGCTACTGGGCACTTTGTGTGGAATGCGGCCATCGCCATCGGTGACGGCAGCGGGGCTGTAGCCGCCGCATGTAGCATGTAGCTAGTGACGGAGCTCGACTCCCCCGGCTGCGCGACGGCAAACACCTTGCTGTTGTCGGCGATCTGCTGCTATTGTGGATGCTTTTTTGTATGAGAGAACTGTTTTAAGAGCGTTGGGGAGGGAGAAGATCATTTTGGCTCCTTCGACCCAAAGGCTGTGCTGGCGCGTTTAGAAGGGCTTCATCGGTGGAGCGTTTTATTTTATTTATCCGTTTGATGACGGCTCGCGTGCTCGAGGTGGCTGCGACGCAGAAGCCTCTGCCAAGCATAGGGCCTAAATCAACCAAAAAAACTAATTTTTTGGGAATTTTAGAGACTAACGTTTTGAGCCTAATTAGTTCATGTTTGAACACTAATTGCCAAATAAAAACGAAGGTGCTACAGTAGCCCCAAATTCCAACTTTCTGGAACTAAACAAGGGCTCAATCTTGAAGCACTTCTTCTCAGGCACTTTTCTCTGTCTAGCCCACCAGGCTAGGCTACTGCCTCCTGAGCACTTTGGCCCCGTTCGGCTGGAGGAAAGTTGGAGGAAGGTGGATGAAAAATACTGTTCTGGATGAAAAAAGAAACGGATCAAGCCGGGTTCAAGTCCAGACGAATGGGGCTTTTTGTGTGGAATGTGGCCATCGCCATCGGTGACGGCAACGGGGCTGTAGCCGCCGCATGTAGCCATAGCCATAGCCGTAGCCATTGATTGCATTCAAATGTGGAACTTAGGGCGGTTGCGGTAGGTCGTTCGTGTACTCGTCCCCGGTGTTCGACTCGACGCTGCCGGTGATGGAGCTCGACTCCCTACTTGTCCTCGGCGTCTGATTCGAGGCTGCTAGTGACGGAGCTTGACTCCCCCGGCTGCGCGACGGCAAACACCTTGCTGTTGCCGGCGATCTATTGCTATTGTGGATGCTTTTTTTTGTGTCCTAGAGAACTGTATGAAAGAGCGTTGGGCGAAGTTGCCGGTTAGTTGTAGACTGGTAGGGCGTGGCTGGCGCTAGAAGGGGGTGCCTTCTAGCTGGCTGTGGGGGCCATCGCGTGCTCAAGGTGGCCGCGACGCAGATGCCGGCATAGGTGCGATCAACCGCGAACAGACCAATTTTTTTGATATTTTAGGAGATACTTTATGGACACTGTTGGAGTAACCCTTCTTTGCTGCTCACAATTTTTTTGGCAACTTGGACAACTCAGTGATTTTGAGAACTGATTTTGGAAAATCTTGGAGATGCTTAAAATGAGAGGCCAGATGATAAAGGGTGATGGTGTAGTGCATGAACTCAACGCTACTGAGGAGTATCGTGAGGTAGAGTAGGAGACAGGGTGGTACTCATGAGCGGTGGTGCAAGCCTAGAAAGAGTGGGGAGAGGATGGCCCTGCACACAAACATGGGTGCTTAGGCTAGTGTGGTAGGATACACTGTCCAAATGACCCTACAAGACCATCAAATGGGTCATTTAAATATTATTAGATGCTTTAAGGGTTGTAATATCAGGTTTCATAGTTGAGGTGTTATATAGTCAATTATTGATATGTTAGGGGATTATACAGACTTTCAAGGGACATGATGCAAAATCTGAGGATTACCTCCCTCCCAGAAACAATTTTTTTTATTAGAAAAATCAAACTTTCTATATTTTACTCCCTCTGTCTAAAAAGAATGTGAATCTCGCTTTACGAGAAGTAAGGAATCTTAAGTTTTGCTAAGTTTATTGGAGTTATTATCTACATTTAGGTCCCAATTAGATTTCTTATAAAAGTATATTTCATCATTAATATAATTATACTTAATACACATTATATTTATATACATATTTTAGGACCGAGTACATGTCAGCGTAAATAATACCTTGAAATCCAGTATTCTTTTCCGTGAAGAGCAAGCTTTTAGTACTAGTTTGTTGGTAAAAAGCCGCCAGGCTCTCTGACCGATGCAGAGGGCCCTACAGAATGTCAGTAGGGGAGAACGAACGGGACCCAACCAAACGTCCAAACCCAGGCCTCGCGTCCCTCTCGGCCAATCATTTCCACTATTTCTACTGCCACAACGCTTCCATTTTCTCTCGACGAGGCCAGCGCCAGCGCCAGCGCTTGTCTTCGCACGGGGCACGGGGCACGCGGCACGGGGACGCAGCGGCGACAGGTGCCGCGCCTTCGTCTCCCCGCCGCGCGCGGACGGCAACGGCGCTCGCTCGGCTTCCCCGGGCCCGGCGGCGCGCCCGCGGGACGGCTTCGCACAGGGCACGGGGACGCAGCGGCGACATTCATCTCCACGCCGCGCGCGGACAGCAGCGGCACCTCGGACGGCTTCGCACGGGGCACGGGGACGCAGCGGCGACAAGTGCTGCGCCTTCATCTCCACGTCGCGCGCGGACAGCAGCGGCACCTCGTCCTCGGTTTCTGCCCCGAGACCATCTCTGCGCTCCAGGTAGCCTCCTCTTCTCCCGTGCACGGAGGGGGCAAAGCTCTGCGCGCGGCTCTCTTTTGGATCGCGAGTTGCTTTTGCTGCGCTGCTGTCGTGATGCTCTAATGCTTGCTTGCAGTCTGCAGTGGGTGGAGGAGGAGGACGAGATCGGCATCATGGGTTTTGGTCTATCCCTCATCTACCTCAACAATATGACCACAGCGGCAAAATATCTTGCGCCTCTGTAAGTAATTCATCCCCTCTGTCTTATATATCAAGGGCTTGTTTAGATGCAAAAAATTTTGCAAAATGAGTACCGTAGCGTTTTCGTTGTTATTTGGCAAATAGTGTCCAATCATAGTCTAATTAGGCTTAAAAGATTCGTCTCGTGGATTTCGTCTAAACTATGTAATTAGTTTTATTTTTTATTTATATTTAATGCTTCATGCATGCGTCCAAAGATTCGATGTGACGGGGAATGTGAAAAATTTTGCAAAATTTTTTGCAAACTAAACTGGACCCAAGTAAAAAGGAGTTCCCCTCTGTCCTAGTAAAAAGGAGTTCCCATTTAGCACAGCCCAAGCAGATTGTGACAGGCGTTAGTTTTCATGCATGGCTGTACTGCGATGAACGCCCACGGTTCTGCCACCCTCCCACTTCCGCGTCTTTCCTGTCATTTGTGTTCAAGTTCTCGGGCATGATTTTTAATTTCACTTTGGTTCCTACAGAATCGTCTAGTTTGCTGGTAATAAAAAAAACAGTTCGATTGCTTTGTATTTAGCCATTCAATTTAGAGACAGCCTTTTAACTTAGTCTTCGGTTTGGTCTTTTATCGGTTCAACCACATGTCCGATCAGGTCATAATAACTACTCCATCTGTCCCAAATTAGTTGACGTTTTAGATTCAAATTTGTCATTAAATAGTTGTCATTCTCACTTTCTAATGTATCTTTCTCTTATTAGACCATCTCCAGTACTCCCTCCGTCCCAGTAAAAATGTCGTTCTAGCAACTGAGTGGTGACCCATAAAAAGAGTCGTTCTAGGCTATGGCCCACCTACTGGACACGTCCACTAGCCCCTGCTCCCTACGCCCGGGCACCATTCACCGCTCCCTTCCACCCACCTCGTCCTCTCCATCCCCTTCGCAGCCGCATCCTTGCCTAGAGTCGAGGCAGAGGCGAACCTCGGTGACGTCAGGTGTTGTCCATCTTAGCCACCAAGATGCAGAGCCCTTCACGGCGGCTGGGCGTGAAGATGGAGACAGCCGGTGTGGTTGGCGCAGAGGCGCGGCCGAGGCGGTGGCGGATCGGCTCGGTGCGGAGACGGAGGCAGATCGGCCGGCGTGGAGGTAGATCGGCCCAGCGCGGAGGCAGGTCGGCCCGGCGTGGAGGCGGATCAACGGCGCAGAGGTGGATCGACCGGCGTAGACACGGTTCGGCTCAGTGCGGACACAAAACTACCGGCCTTCTCCATCCCCAAACCCGCGCGGCAGAGAGGAGGCGCGCGAGGGTGGGCATGGCCCACGTGGGGGGAGAGGAGGCGCGCGAGCCACGTGCCACTTGCGTCAGCTAGGAGCTCGCTCGGGCCTTCGTGTGTGGTCGTGTGGGGTCGAGAGCGGAGAGAGTCCGGTCACTGAGACGTGGTTGGGGGAGGAGCGCGAGAGTTCGCTGCGGGCACCAGAGTAGGGGCATGAAGGTCTTTTCTACTATTCCTTGGTATACGTGTCCAAGTCTAAAACGACTCTTTCCTAGGAACGGAGGGAGTAGTTCCTAAAAACATTTGGTAAATTGATGAGTTTTCCAAGTGGCTAAAAAAAGTTGGAAGCATATTTGGGTTCCTCCAATAATTTCAAAAAACTCGAGCCTAAAATATAGACCCTTATGAGGTAATTATCGTGATTGGAAACTGTTCTGCCACTGATTATTAGGAGAAACCTGATTTGTCAAAATGTCTCGTCGATTTGTTGTAAGAAAAAAGGTATAAAAATGGATTACTCATCA